TACTTAACGGTAATTAGGTAATTACCTCTTCCTAACCTAACCGTTACCTAATTACCTTCCTCTCTCTTTTCCCTTCGTTCTCACCCCTACTCACCCCCTCCCCCAGGCTGGTGGTGGGGGCGCCACGGGTTAACTCCACCCGCCGCGGGGTGGTGGAGCCTGGGGGACTCTTCTCCTGCCCGCTTGATGGCAACACCGCCTGCTCCTGGGTGGACATATCAGGTATGTCCTTCATTACCCCCATTTGTATTTCACACCCATATTATGCCCCCAATTAAGCCACCCCATGGATATAACACCCATAGGCATACCTCAACCCCCTTTTCTCCCCCAAAATCTACTTGTACAACTCCCCACCTCCTGTCTCCCGTCNTGGTCAGTCAGGTTCTGGTGCTGGTCAGTCAGGTTCTGGTGCTGGTCAGTCAGGTTCTGGTGCTGGTCAGTCAGGTTCTGGTGCTGGTCAGTCAGGTTCTGGTGCTGGTCAGTCAGGTTCTGGTGCTGGTCAGTCAGGTTCTGGTGCTGGTCAGTCAGGTTCTGGTGCTGGTCAGTCAGGTTCTGGTGCTGGTCAGTCAGGTTCTGGTGCTGGTCAGTCAGGTTCTGGTGCTGGTCAGTCAGGTTCTGGTGCTGGTCAGTCAGGTTCTGGTGCTGGTCAGTCAGGTTCTGGTGCTGGTCAGTCAGGTTCTGGTGCTGGTCAGTCAGGTTCTGGTGCTGGTCAGTCAGGTTCTGGTGCTGGTCAGTCAGGTTCTGGTGCTGGTCAGTCAGGTTCTGGTGCTGGTCAGTCAGGTTCTGGTGCTGGTCAGTCAGGTTCTGGTGCTGGTCAGTCAGGTTCTGGTGCTGGTCAGTCAGGTTCTGGTGCTGGTCAGTCAGGTTCTGGTGCTGGTCAGTCAGGTTCTGGTGCTGGTCAGTCAGGTTCTGGTGCTGGTCAGTCAGGTTCTGGTGCTGGTCAGTCAGGTTCTGGTGCTGGTCAGTCAGGTTCTGGTGCTGGTCAGTCAGGTTCTGGTGCTGGTCAGTCAGGTTCTGGTGCTGGTCAGTCAGGTTCTGGTGCTGGTCAGTCAGGTTCTGGTGCTGGTCAGTCAGGTTCTGGTGCTGGTCAGTCAGGTTCTGGTGCTGGTCAGTCAGGTTCTGGTGCTGGTCAGTCAGGTTCTGGTGCTGGTCAGTCAGGTTCTGGTGCTGGTCAGTCAGGTTCTGGTGCTGGTCAGTCAGGTTCTGGTGCTGGTCAGTCAGGTTCTGGTGCAGGTCAGTCAGGTTCTGGTGCAGGTCAGTCAGGATCTTGTGCTGGTCAGTCTGCTGCCGTGCAAGTTGCTTTAATTTTTTCCTGCCACTAAGATGTTAAAATTTTGTTAGTTTATTAATTAAAATTTTGTTATTTTAACAATTAAAATTTTGTTATTTTAACAATTAAAATTTTGTTATTTTAACAACTACAATTTGGTTATTAGATTTGTTCTTATGTTAACTGTGAAGTTCTGCGTGCAGCTGAAGATGTGGATAGCCTTCCTCATCCCCAAGATCGAAGACGGCAACAACTTCGGCGTGGGCATCCAGGAGGAGACGCTCGAGGAGATCCGCTCCGTGGAGTCAGAGGCCTCCGTCTTTTATGAACAGATAGCGCGCTACTACGTACACAGAGCCAAGCTTATCTCTAAGGTGGGGGCCTTTGTGGGTTCTCACTTTTGACCTTATGATGAGTTTAGGACTACGCACCGTCGACTTGGGTAACTTCGGCCACAACTAAAACAGAAACAAATGGCAGCAAAACAAAATAATAAACGCTGGCCAAAGTCATCCTGGGCCCATACTTTGGAAAAAAGTTAAGAGATCGTAAGTTCATCAGCCAATCATTGACGGCCTTTCAAGTAAAATCTATTAACCATAGACAAGAAAATAGAGCGTAAGTACTTACATTCACTTAGCGAATTTTTAAAGTATGGCCCCTGTAGGCCAAAGTCACCCCAGTCCCTTTGGCCAATGTTTATTTTTGTTTTGCTGCAGTTTGTTTCTGTTGTAGTGGTGGCCCAAGTCACCCAGTTGACTAGTCCAAGGTCAAGCTGATGCTCCGTGTGAACAGGGGCTTGTGTAGGTGACGGGAGCTCGTTATTTCAACCTTTATTTTGTTCTGCTATTTGCCTGCCTCCGTTTCAGATTATCTTTGGGCTGGAAAATGAAAATGATTTTCTAGGAGATCGCCACTGAAACGTCACAATTTGCTAGTGTGTCCCTCTAGTTTTGAAGAATTATTATCATATTGTCATTAGAGTTACGTTATACTTGTGTTTATGATTTAGTTCTGTGAATAGGACCGACTGGATTCTACTTTGTTTAGTTATAAATGTGAAGACGGAAACTTCGTTCTGCGAACCCCACGCCCTATAGGTTGATTACACCACCCAGCTGTTAATCTCATCCTCAGATTTCTGCTACAACGCCATGTAGATCACTTTTTCCCTAAACCAATAGAAAAACAACTACTTTTACTCACTTCATGTACTACCAGCGCGCCAGGTTGCCGAGCATAGTTTTTATTTCCCTGTAAAATTACCAAGTACCAATTACACTAAAGGTTGCCAAATACGTCTTTCGTTATAGTTTGCCTAGTGCTGTATGCCTCCAGGAAATTGTCATGTACCAAATAACCCGCATCCTACCTACGCAGGTTGCCATGTACCATATAACCCGCAACATACCTTTGCAGGTTGCCATGTACCGTATAACCCGCAACCTACCTTTGCAGGTTGCCAAGTACCATATAACCCGCAACATACCTTTGCAGGTTGCCAAGTACCAATTAACCCACAACATACCTACAGGTTGCCAAGTACCATACAACCTACCTTTGCAGGTTGCCAAGTACCATATAATATATCTACTCAGGTTGCCATGTACCATATAACCC